ACTTTTATAAGGCAGTGACTGCATACATGTTCTGGTTCATAGATTATATTGAACGATTCTTGCCTTAAATGTTACTGAATTAGAAAGTCAAAGTTGCAGTAGAGTAGCAGTGAGTGTCCTTCACATAGGTTTGAACTGGGATCTACATCCAAACTTCTCCAAATTTCAGAGAAATTTAATGATGAAGACAGAGATGTTACTTTTGGCCTCATAGATGTAGGCTGAAGTCAGATTTTTCATACCTCTAAATCAGGGGTGGGCAAAATGCGGCCTGTGGGCCAGATGCGGCCCACCAGGCCATTCTATCCAACACCCATGGGGCCCCTAAAAAAATAAGAAAATTAATATTTATCTGCCCCCAACTGCCTGTCATGCTGCCCTTGATGGCTTGCCAAAACTCAGTAAGTGACCCTCTGTCCGAAATAATTGCCCTCCCCTGCTCTAAATAAAACCATGTCCTGTTCTCACTGTTCTCACGTATGCTTAAAGGACCTCTCTTTCATTAACATTGACCACTGTTCCTATATCGAAGTTGAGCCTTATGTTGCTTTTGCGTGACAGCAGATTGAGGCATGTAGTCATAGGTTTGAGATGGACTGCATGTCATCCGGTCCAATGTCCTGTGCAGATGTAGAATCAGGGGTGCAAGATACAGAAATGTCGAATTCTGTTAGTGTCACCTGTACGAATGAAAGACACGCTATGCTGGTCAGACCATGTATCCATCTAGCCAAGTATCCTGTCATTGTCAGTGGCAAGTAATAGATACTTTAGGAAAAGAATATAAGAAACAGGGCATGTGTAGACTGATCCATTTCCTGTCCAGCTCTTCCAGCCATGCTGATCTATCTAGCAATGGCAGCCACACATGACTTCAGCACTAGATTTCCAAATGTTTCTCAAAATTGGGGCCAGAATTTCAAAAATACTCAACCAGTGTGCAGCTTAATGTTTTTGCAAATCTGATCCAGCATGGACCAGAGCACTTTTGAAACCCTGACTCCTACCTAAAACCGTAGACTTTCAGCTTATATTATTTGTTGGTCTGCGTCTTTTCTGAGCTGTTACCTGTCTATACAGCTTCTTAGGGTGCTAGGTAACCCCCCCCCCACCTTTTGAAGTCCATGTCTTTTGAAACTGCTTATGCTGAAGGTACTGTGGCAGATCCTTACCTGGAGTAACTTCTTTTACCTCTGCTATTCCTGTATTTCTTTGCAAAGAAACAGCACATGGCCTCACTGGTTTGTCAGAGTCCCCTATCAAGTTTCTGTGAGAAGAACACGATGTTATGAACAGTTCAATCCTGCTAACACAAAATTATTTATTTTCTATTAGGTGAATTACATGTTTGCTTTTGAGCACAAGTATTGGATATCACATGGGCAAGGTATGCAAAAGTACAACCACAATTTGGCCCTCAGTTTGGTGTTTAGTTTTGTAGGGTGAATGGGATAGCCAAGGAAATATTTAAGAGGCAGCAGAAAATATGAGAGTGGAAATGTAAGCAAAGTAGTAGGTTTTGGAGTCATCCACACAAGGGTCACAGCTGAAGGCATGGGGATGGGACTTTCCAAGAAAACAGAGAGAAAGGAGATACACAAATGGAAGAGATTTGAAGAAAGCCAGAAGGTAAGGGAAGAAAAATGACCAGATGGTGAAGGACCAATAAGCAAGGTAGCAGCAAAACCAAAAAAGTAGAGCATCATATAGAGTAGAGCATCTTGGGATCATAGGCTTGGAAGGGACCTCATGGGTCATCTCTTCCAAGTCCCTTTTTGGTGAACTCCATATTGTTTTTGAATTCATAAAATGAATTGTCTTCAGTTGCTCCTATGGGAAGTCTTCTGAGACAAATGTCCTCCTAGGCTCAATAGATAGAACTTCAGTATTATAGATCTCCTTGTGACATAGCTGATGTCTTCACTGAGGCTGTTAGTTACTCTCAGACCCTGCAGCTCCTGGCTTTCCCACTTTTCAGACTAAGGATAAAGCTTGTACTGTGCTGTCACCATGCAGAGCCTACCTCTGTTTGACTTGGATTAAATATTCATAGGAAGTATCACTGGATGCATTACATCAGAATCAGTCCACTTCATTTTTCTTTCCATCTTCTCCAAAAAGGATGCGTAATGAAGCAGCTTCTAGAACAGGCATGGTGAACCTGTCATGCATGTCTTGAGTGGTACAGGCAGCTGCTGCGTGTGGTACATGAGTCCTGGGCACTCAATAAACAGGGACACCAGAATAGAGGTAGAGCAGCTCAAGTCTGTGACCAAGTGGAGCAGAGGGAGAACAGGACACTGCTATGAGAGGAAGTGTTGGGTGTGATTGCCAAGAGCCAGATTAACCCTCCCCTGGCTTTGCAGCCACCGCTGAATTAAGGACTTTGGATCATTGCTAAAACTATGGTGGTTTTGGAACCAGGGGATGGTTAACTGACTTTTGGTGGTGACATCTCCTCTCACCGCAGTGTCCTGCTCCCTGTGTTGCAGACTCAAGCCCCACCATTTCCATCTGATATGGGAAGGTACAAAGTCTATCAAGTACACCTCAAGAGGGTGGGGATCAGAACAGCACTGAGGGCAGGAGAAGGGCTTAGCTTGAGCCACAACTCCCCCAAAAAAGGTTGACCACCACTGCTTTACTTTATGAAAGCAAAACAACTAGAGCTCATAAAAAGCTGGTAGAAAATTAGAACCAATTCAAAATAACGTTGAGAAGGTCTGACCTTGCTGCACATGAAAGGTATTTAAGGTCTGTATCTTATTTTTCTATTCTATTGTATGGGATTTAAAACTCCTATGGGAATTTTGTCCAAGTAAGGACACCAGGACTAGGAATGTCATGCAGGACAGTTCTTGAGAAGTGCTTTTTTAGATAAACAGCCACCAGAAAAGAGGATCAGACCTTTGTTAACATTTCATCAGAAGGCCTCCACTTTATGACTAAATACAGACAATCAAAATCTTCTCAAGTTAGTCTAAGCTGTGTAGATTGAACTGATAAGGAAAGCGAACAGGCACATACTTTTGATCCATAAATGCAGCCACATGCCTGCAGTGGCCCAGGCCAGAAGCCAGGGGGCATTAGAGCATACCTTCCTGCTGGAGTAGAGCAGACGGTTTGGACCAAAGTATTGTGGGATGCTGGGGGACTTTGAGTTAACTTGAATCTGGAGGGGATATGGGACAGAAGTTCAATACACTGATTTAACCTAAATCAGTTAAGTTTGAGATTATATCCATCTAGGTTTATCTCAAACAAGTTTTGGCCATTTTGAAAGTAGTTTATGTACATTGAACTTCTGCTGTATTACAGATTTGGACCGGTTTCCGATCACTTATACCGGTTATGTGTAATTTCTTCCCCTAGCCTATAACAACATAACATCCTCTCCTGAGTAAATGCATGTCATCCTTTATAGGTCTATAGTTCTTTATAGTTCTAGCAGCAGGCATCTCAGTGCCCGGTGAGATGCCTGCAGCAGGCATCTGAGATTATAAAGTGCTGTGGAGCACCCTTTGGAGCTCTTTTCCATTTAAAAAGGACAAAGTTGTGAGTCAAATTGTGAAAGATGATGACTCAGTATATTTGTGCAGCTCTTCTGGTGGATAGTGGATCAAGGCAACAGTTAAAGAGAGGCTGAGGACTAGAATAAATCAACTGGTTATTTGACCTATGCTGTGCTAAAGCTTGTGCTGCAGAATAAAATAATACTAGGAGCATAACATTACCATTGCCCACTCTTGTATTTTTTTTATCACAAGACTTGTGATAGTTTGGTGTCTTGTATATAATGTCACCTTCCAGACTCACAGCTTTTTTGTGCAAATGTTGGCTTTTATTTTACATGGAACGTTTCCATCTCACGATTGCAAAAAAAAAGATGTGGAAAAAAGTGGATATTAAAATCTCAAGATCCAAAAGATAAATAAAAAGAGATCCAAGTTTCTTAGTAACCAAAAGGCTTTTATATAAAATTAAATTATACTTTTTTTTAGATGCCTAGCTCCTGACTTCTGCACGCTTTAGATTTGCAGTGTGTGTGTGTGTGTAAAATAGCATGCTCTGATTACTGATTTAAATAACTGTCAGTGCAGGTCAAATTCACAGGAGCACATGAAACAAATCAACCAAGCCCTGTGCAATCCTAAACTAGGGAGCTTTGCAGTGACAGGAGCAAGAGCAACATAAAGTGGGGAAATGCATTGTATTAATTAGCTCCATTGAGGAAAAGTTACTTCCCACGCTTTGCCTACAGAGGGCATCCCAGCTCATTCATATGTAGACTCAGCAAATATAGCGGCTGAAAGCAGCCAGGCTCAGTCAGTTCTTTTTTCCCCCCTTCCAGTGGAATCTTTTTCCCTGATCCAGTTGGTTTCTCTCCGCTCTCCACGTTTTCCCTTCCAGCCCTCCACTTCTTCGGATCAATGGATGTTACAGCTCTAACTCCCATCTCACATACTGCTGGTGGACAGCTCCAGTAACAAGTGAGAGCTTTACATCCTTTTCTCTCCCTCTCTCTTTTTTCCCCCCTCATCAACATCTGTCAAGAAGGAGGAAAATCACGAGCTCTTTTGTTTTCTCCCGACTTTTTCTCTCTCTTTTTTTTTTTGGTACTTTAACGCAGTGATGGAAACGGACCAGCCCCCCATCATTTGATGCACCCTGGACAGCTATTTTTTGTCAGGATTTTTCTATGTATGGTTTTCCAACAGTGGGAAGGTCCTTCCCCATCCTTCCCTTTTTTCCTTGAGTTAGTTTCCTGACACATTCTGGAGGCTTGGAGGCTGCTGGACTGAATGTAACTTTTTTTTCCTTCCCCCCCCCTCCCTCCTTTTCCCTCTGCTGATTCCCGTCAGCAGGGACTGAAAAAGAAAAAAAAAAAAAAGAAAAAAGGAAAAAAAGCAGAAGAGGAGGAGGCAGAAGGGGCTGTGTGTGCGTGTGTTTTGTTGTTGCTGGTGCTCAGGACCCAAATCTCTGTAGGTGTGTGTTGAAATATGGAGAATAGTCTTGGATGTGTTTGGGTACCAAAGCTGGCTTTTCTACTCTTCGGGTTTTCTCTGATCAGCCTGCATCTTCAAGTCACCGGTAAGTCATCTCTGCCTTATTTGCGTCTGCACTACACAGATAATGGGTGGATTTTGTCAAACCTGAAGGAATGTGCCCATTTCTCATGTGCTAACAGACTTTGTTTTTCCACCCCCTCCACTCTCGATTTGGTTTTTGTTGTTCGTCAGGGTAAGCTCTTGCAAGCACTTGACGTAGATTTGGAGAGAGAGAGAGAGAGAATTGGGCTGAGAAGCACCTTGTGTAGCCTTTGAAAAAAGGAGAGCCACTAAAAGGAAGGAAACCCATAAAAATAAAGGAGAAATGTGGGAGGATGTAGCAGTAGTGTGTGTGTGCGTGCGTGCGTGTGTGTATGGAGGGGATGGTTCATATTCTTTTTTGCACCTAATTCCTCTTGCTATTGGATATATTTGCCAGTAGCCTTTGGGATCTTCAGGCTGAGATTGAGGGGAAGGGATATTTTGAGACGGGGAAGGAGCGTGGAAAGGGAAATGAAGAAAACCAAAATACTAGTTGAGGGGACAGAAAATGCAGTTCTCTCTGAAGCCCCTCCAAACTCCTTTTGATTGATATTCTTTGGGGTTGTCTCTCTTGCACTTGGCAGGCACATTTTCTAATTAAAAATGGCAAAGCCAATTGTGTATTGAATTGGGATAGAGAAGGAAAGAGGGGGAAATGATACAGTGATGCTGAGGGGCCATCTATGCAGGAGATGGAGCAGAGTTGGGAATTTGAGATTTCTTTAAAAAAAAATGAAACAGCAGCATTATCCAAGAAGTGTTAGGAACTAAAAAAGTGCAGTGTTGATTTGTAGGTGGCTAGGAGTGTGAGAGCATGGGGGTAATGGTGAGGAGAGGTGGGGGGAAATGTGTGCGAAGAAATATTATTCTCCAGTGATCATTGGATTTGTCTCCCAAAGAAAATGAGCAGTGTTTCATTAGGAGGGATCTCAGGAAGAGAGAAGCCACGAACTGCAACAATAAAATAAACACACATGCATACAAATTGCTATCACACCAACTACTGATGAACAATAGAAGCACCCCCCCCCCCAACACACACACAGTCACACACATGCACACGGACACTATTAAAGCAGCTTTTTGTAATGGGGAAAGTGCTGCAGATGAAGCCTTTGCAAAAAGATCTTCACTCTGTTGTAGCATCATTCAGGTTGTCAGCTGTATGCTAATGGAAATGCCTTAAATTGTTTGTGTAGATGAGGTTCCTTTTTCCAAAAAAATGTTTAATTTTTTTTTTTTGGGGGGGGGGGGTCTTTTTTTTGTGCGTGAGGGCTAACAAGTGAACTGGAAGATGCTTCTATTAAATACAAGGAGGCTCATTTGTGTGTGACTGCATGTGTGCAATGTGCATGTCTCTCTCAGCATTGTCCTCTGCAATTACTTATATGGAAGGTGGGACCTGGCAATCAGAGCAGGATAATGAATAGGTGTCTCTCTTGAATTTGCAGCTTAAAGGCTAGTAGATGGGAGACATGTCAGTGATCCTCCTTCTTGAAAGATGATTGACTTGCAGGCTTCTTTCCTGACATACAGTGAGATGGAGAGTGTGTGTGTGTGTGAGGAGGGGAGTGAAGAAAGCCCTATACTGTATGGAGGGCCAAACCCACACTGCAAACAAGCTGCCTTCCTGGTACAGAGGGGAGTGGTGTCTGCTGCTATTATGCAGAAAAGTAATTATAGGAGCAGGTTGTTTCCTAGCTGGGCATTTTATTTGTGCATATGTTGCTACCTATTTGTAGCATGTATTTGTTCATCACGCTGCGTTTGGAGCCATGAATCTGTACGTTGCAGCAAGTTCCCTGGCCTGTGCTTTGCTTTGCAAGCTAGAATTCTGCAAAGTTTTTCTTGTGTTGAACCTCTGGATCTTTTCTGAGGTGTCACACCTCAAAGATGTGGTTATTTTAAGTCCCATTTTATAACCTGGATTCAGCTGACAAAATAAAAAAGACCTTGCACCTTTAAGGTAATGCTGTTCAAATGTCTTTGGCTTCTGCTCATTAATCTCTGAGTTTCCACTCCACCTCTTAGCAGCCTTTTTCTCCCTTCAGAAACCTAGCAGGGGATTGATAGTAAAGAAAGCATAATTCACTCTCTGAAAGGACCAGTAGGAGGTGCCCTTAATAAGGCCAAGTAACTGGTTTGCTGCTTGGCAAAATTCCCATTCAGCAGGGCATTTAAAGACTTTGTTGACTGGTAACAAAGGGCTTATAGAGATGCAACACAATGGGGCTGTGTCCTTTCACACTTCCTCACTAAAGCCCAAAGCTGGTTTGGAGATGTAAGAATTTGTTTAAAACTTTAATAATAAAGAGCTGTATTGCACAGTGTCAACATATAAAGAGGAATATGCTACTTTTGTGCCAGAATGGAGTCCTTCCCATTCGCAGCTCCATTGTTTGTAATATGCAAAATGTTACTGCTGGGGTGAAAGTAAAATCCAATATAGGATCTTTTCCCTGCAGAAAAGGTGAAGGCAGCTGAGCATACAGTGTTGGAAAACAATTCAGGGGCAGTGTTTGCTGCTCTTAGAAAAAGAATAAAACATGATTACTAAAAATCAAATTGTAGAGCAAACCTGGGAGGGAGTCATGAGAGCAATATGTGATTTTGCTCAATGCACATAGTCAATGAAATGCGCTCTCTTTTAGTTTTGCTTGTTTACTTCCACCGCGTCCCGGGGTGAAGTTTAGTCCAGTACGGTGTGTCAACCTGACGGTGGCTGGGCTAAGATGGCAATCACTCCTTCCTCCGTGAGTGGTGCAGTATAAATCAACAGTGACCTGTCACAGCATCCATTTCACATGCAGCAGAGTTGCCCTCTGTGTTATGAGGCATGTGAACAGCCATGTGTGTTATATGGGGGCAGTAGGCTGAGCACATGTTGTTAAAATATTCCCAAATATTGTGGCGATCATGCCTACGGGCAAACCTTTTTCGCTAGTTGTTTGGCTTTTTTCTTTCTATATCTATGTTATTTATTTTTATATAAAGTGAGTCTGTATGTTATTTATTCAGCCTCTTCCCCCTTTCTCCCCCTTCCCCATTTTGTACAGATTGAGGGCCAAATGCTGATGTCAGTTAATCAGGGGGTGCCTGGAGTAATTTTCTTTCAGTAAAATCACACCAGATTTAATCGGCTTCTTATTTCTTTTCTCATTCCTGAATCCCCTCCCATGTACTTCCTAGTGCAAAACACAGAACCACGTGCTTATTCCATAGTCCAAAGACAGTGTTGTACCAGCAAGTCACGCTCTTTTTACTCTCCTGTCTGGCAGCATTTATCTTTTGTATCTTGTCTTAGATTGTAAACTCTCTGGGGCAGTCACTTGTTCTCTATTACAGCACTTAGCAAAATGGGGTCCTGGTGCGTGATAAGGGCACCTGCGTGCTACATTGACACAAACAATACATATTGCTCTGCTAGTCAGAGCTGCTCTTGCCCTGCTCCAGCTGGGCTGCGTGGGGAGCTGGGTTTAGCCAGGGACAGCAGCAGTGACAGCGGCAGTGGCAGCAGCAGCAGGCAGGTTCCCTGGGTGTTCCCTATTACCCTGGGAGCAGGTCCAGGGATGGGGAACTTGTCCACTGCTGCCACTGGCTGAGCATGGCTCCCTGGCAGCGTGCCTGGAGTGGGGCAGGAGTGGCTCAGGTCATGCCCCCCTCCCAGTACTCAGTCAGATGGGAACACTGGGGACAGCAGCAGCTGTCTACAAACTCCGTGCTCTGCTCATGCCTGCCTGATTGCATCCTCCTACTAAGATAAGAGCTAGCGCACTGACATCCCAATCTCATTCTCGAAGTTGGACCCTTAGGTTTACTCAGTTCTTTCTCCCCAGCAACATCCTTTCCATCTGCTAGGCATAAAGCAGATAATTGTGCATCACCAATTCTGCTGCAAGGGTTTTCCAGCATGGCACTTGTGTGGTCCGTGTGTGATATTTTCATGTATTTTATTTATTTAAATTCACTTTGCAACATGATTCAGCCAGCTGGATTCTGCTTGAACTTAGTCTCTGAGACACGTGTTCTTTCAGGTGACTGGCTTCTCTTCTTGTTAGAGGATAAGCAGACCACCGTGAATCCCAGCAAGGACAAGGCACCAACCATGCTCTTTCTTTGACGCACTCTCAGGAAAATTCTTCAAAACTGCCCCAAACACATGCTTTCACCCCTCTAGAGAGCCCTCACTGGTCTCAGATATGATTTTACTAGGCAGAAAATAAAGTTGCAAAAACAAAATAGTTCCTTATGGCTAGAAGGATGCACTTTTAAAACTTATTTACAAATGTACTTCTGGTAGAAAGTATTATTAAGGCCATTAAATGCACGTTTACACTGGTTAACTCTGAAAGAAGTTAGCCCTGTCCCAGAACCTCAGAATATGTCCAGACAAAAGGACCCCCATTCTTTTTTTACATTACTCTTAAAGAGTGGTCCTAAGTGTAGCTGTGACTTGTATGGAGTTATCCCCGGAAATAAATAAGAGTTGACCCAAGGACAATGATTGCAAACTAATTATTGCCTGATAATAACTGAGGGCTATTTTTTACTCTTGGGTATCCTGTTGTTAATCTGGAGTAATTCAGTTTACACCACTGGAGCCACTGCATGTTTACAACAGCAAAACCCAGTAGCATTTGACCTTGACCCAGACTATTTTTCTGTTTTAAAATTTCATGTGATGGTTGAAAGAGAGAAGAGTAAAGAGCTGGGTCTAGTAAGATTGGTGTTAATGCTTTGGTTTTGCCTGAGTGAAAAAGAATATTGACACGTTCCACAGAGGCTTCCATGAGTAATTAGCTAAAGACAAAAAATTAATTTGGTTCTGTTAAAATTATCCCTAGGGTTAATTGCTGACCTACATTTTGTACCTCTAAAGCAATCCAAAGTAAACACACTGGGTCTAATGCTGATTTTGCCTATACCCCTTTTACATTGGTGTAATTGAGTTCAATAGATTTGTTCCCCATTTGAACCATTGTGTTGTCAACATATGTAATA